TATACATATATCTGGACGTTAGACTCGGAGGTCCCGCCTCTTAAATAACCTAATAGTGTTGACAGAGGGATTAGAGCCATACAATTAGTTAAAAATTGTTATCTAGATCTAGTTACACCTCTACTCTTCGGCGCTGATATACATGTAATTATTTGTATTGTAAGCGCCATCTTCCGACACTGATTTATACAGTCGACAAGAGGATACAGTTGATGTCGTCGGGGGGAGTGAAAAACGGATCAACTCATCCAAAGTTCAACTTGACCGGTGGGACCTCGACGTCGCCTCTAAACTGTTTTGTCCAAAGTGCCTCTTTACAAAGCACACGTACCGGTAGGACAAAACAGTTGAAGCGACGACCTGTACTGTAAACGAGAAGAGATGCTGTGACACGAGAAATTGTTTGTTTTTGTGAAGAGTGTTACGGCACTTGCAACAACACAATATAAGTGCCGAAGATTATAGGTCTTACAAGAGAATAACAAACACAAAATAGAAGGAGGGGAGATCAGGAAGATAGATGTTTCACAGGAAAGAAGGAGCAAACCACACCAGAGCACCCGCCAACCACCCACAGACTCGAGAAATAGATCAACTTAACCGAAGATCAACTCAGGCGAGTTCTACAACACAAGCGGGCCGGGGCCGACTGTACGACTATGACTATTTTTGTTGCAAAGCGCCCTAAAACTCTTACCAAAACGAAAATGAAAACTAAAGCTCGGGCACGAGCGGGGGCATTCTTTTAGAGCGGCACGGTGTCAGAGCGTACATTGCATAGTATGCATGCACGCACGCCTCGATCCCCGGCGGAACGGACGCGTTAATGTAATAAGAATATGTGTGACGTCCAAGCTACAAACAGACGAGGAAGCAATTTGACACGTTGATGAGTGCTGAGAGCGCTAATTTACGCTCAACCGTCACGCCGTCGCACCTGCGTCCTGCGCAGACCTCTGGAAGCGGCCGGGATATGCCGTAAATTGTGCTGGCAGCGTCACAGAACTGGTGGGATATGGCTACTTTGGTTATCCTACGGGGTGAAATAGGAGACTTAAAAACCTTGAAAGAATCTGAGCTCGGTGTATAAATTATTGTCTTGCCGCCTGGCAAAGTAGCAAAACTGGATGGATCGCGGGTGTTTTTATATATTTCTTCCCAGTTATTGCTGGCTCCTTGTCCCGTCTGTATGAGGGCATTTGTGCTTGCCTATCCATCAGCGTCTTTGATGTAGTGTGTTATCTGTCGTTCTTATTGTTGTTGTTGTTGTTATTGTTGTTGTTATTGTTGTTGTTGTTGTTGGGTCTTTGTCCATGTGTATGAGGGTATCTATGCAAGCCTATCCATCAGTGTCTTTGTTGTTGTTGTTGTTATTTGTTGTTGTTGTTGTTGTTGTTGCTGCTGTTGTTGTAGTTGTTGTTATTGCTGCTGCTGAAGCTGTTGTGGTCGTTGTTGTTTTTGCAGGCATTTTGTCCGTCTGTACTAGGGTATTTGTGCAAGCCTATCCATCAGTGTTCGTATTGATGTTGTTGTTTGTTTTTGTTGTTGTTGTTGTTGTTGTTGTTGTTGTTATTGAAATATTGAAGGAGTTCTGTGAAGGAGTTTTGGTCTCTTATTTTTATGCACAACTCCATGCACAAAAAATGACTATAAGTGTTTTATCCTCTCTTGGAAGCAGGCTGTATGAAATTATATTATTCCTAATAAAAACCCCACGACGTTCGGCTAACCAGCGATACTGCGTATGACTCGTACTCTTGTGTGCAAAGCGAAAATATAACCATTACTTCAAATGTACCGATTAAAAAGAAAGTAAAAGTACAACCATACAATTGTAAATGTATAGTATTATTATAATAAAGAAACATCTCTATTCAGGATTTGGGGAAAGACG